ACGTACAGCAATAGCAGGAACAGAAGCGCTAGCATCCTCTGAAACAATAGGTACCAAAGCAAGCAGACCATTAGGATTTACCTCCATTACTTGGCCCATTGGATAGTCTTGGCCCCAAGCATCCTCTACCTCAGCCTTTGCAGCTTGCTGCTGTTGGACCAAATCATCCAAGTCACCTGGACCAGCAGGAGGCTGCCCCATCTGCCAAATGTTGCCCACATTAGGATCATCATCATCATCTGGACCATTAGGATTTGGTTGAGGGCCCGCAGGGGGCAGATCTTCATCAGGAGCCATGTTAATGAAATCCCCTTCCAACAAAAACACGGAAACTGTCCATGATTCTCCTCCTCCGCCCATACCCACCGGATCATGCAAAACAATTTTTCGAGGCACAAAATCATTATCCTTAAACTTAGCCCTTATCAGAACTCTCCCCTTGATCTGATCCCTTTCAAGCCAAAAAGAAAGTTGGCCAAATGTAGCCGTAGCAAGGTTTAGATGGTACCAATCAACAAAGTCAAGGGGGAAAACCAAGAAAAGGAACCAACCCTCTCTATGGCACTGAGATGCTCTCCAATTTGGGCCTTGATCATGCTTCACAAAAGTTACCGAAAGCACTCCATCATAAACAAATGGCTCACTATGGACCAGGGCATCTCTATGCATAGCAGAACGGAGTTGATACATACCCACCGCAGAAGCATGACGGTAGCTGTTTCTGACCTCAAAAAGATGCTCATCAAGAATGTGATGAAGAATCAGCATGCGGTGGTGATCCCAATCTTGCTCCGACACCGGCGGCTCCACCAAAGCAACACAAAACTCTTCATAATGACGAACATGCCTTTGAGGGATGGTGAGATCAACTCTAGGGACACGCAAATTTCCTCCCAAATGCACAATGTGACCTTGATTGAGGAAACGATGAGGGTTAGGGTTGAGGTCCGCCATTGGCAAGGAACTTTGGGCTGGGGAGGCTTGAACAATATTCTCAACAGTAGATTGGAGAAGGCGAGAAGGCTACGAGATAACCAGCGCTAGCTTTTTAGGTCTCCAAACAAGATTGCAATTACCCCGGGAGTTTAGGACCGTAGCATCTGCATTAATGCGAGGGGGGGGGTAGAAACAGACTTTGGCAATTTACCCTCAGAGGGAGATTTCTTTGAGCTACAGAAACAGGCCGCATGACCCGAACTCTTACAAATTCGGCACCGAAAGGGCCCAACACAAACAGACAAAGAATGACCCTTCTCTAAGCAACGCCCACAAATTAAATTACACTGGTGGAGAAACCATCTTTGATCGGTCTGGCAAAATCCACAATAGTCCCGGTTCCAAAAAGAACCGAGACTAAAGATAGTTTTTAGTCCCGGTTATAAAAATTTTGATCTTTAGTCCCGGTTCATCCCTTGTCAGATGTATTTCAGGAGGCCGAGGATCTTCAGTCCCGGTTGGTATACCGGTTGGTAATACCAACCGGGACTAAAATTGAACACGTAGTATATAATCCCTATCACTTATCCTCTCCTCCACAGTTACAACTTGGGCAGATCGAATATCTCCCCCTCTCCTCAGATCTATCCTCTCTAACTCTCTTCCACATCCGCTCTCCTTCAACTCCTCCCCTTCCTCCCCTTCCTCCTCCCCCCTCCTTCCCGGCAGGCGCTGGGGGGAGGGGGGCGCCCGGCAGTCGTGGCGAGCGGCGGCAGCGACATTGTTTTTTCTTTTTTTTTTCAAATTTGTGATTCACTGAGATGTACATATTTGTGATTCATTGTTTAGATCTGTGTTGTATTTGAGTAATTTTTTAGGATATTATGATGTATTTGATTTGTTTGTATAAGTAACTTTATGATTTGTGATGTGGATATGATGATGTGAATTTGGGATGTTACTTTGATTTGGGGATTGATTTGGGATTTGCCTACTTGATTCGGGAGAAAATAAAGGAAAAAAGAAAAAGAAAAGGGGACCATCTGGTACTGCCGCTATTGTTTCTTTAGTCCCGGTTGGTAACATCAACTGGGACTAAAGATCCCCCTCTCTTTAGTCCCGGTTATTTCAACCGGGACTAAAGATGGACATCTTTAGTCCCGGATCCTTACTCCTGGTTGGAAAACCAAGACTAAAGGGGGGTTCCCAACAGAGAGTAAAGATGGTTTCTCCACCAGTGTTAGAATTTAAAACTTGCTTAGAAAGTTGATCCCGATTACCTCTAACATTTTGAATTTTGGGATTAGCCACCGGCTTAATCTCCAGAACTTTGGTCACCGGAACAGTGATCGCCAGAGTATCACCGCCAGTCACCTTCAAGGACTCCTTTAATCTATCAAAAACACTCTTCCTAGGAATAACCCGCTGCTGAGTAGCTTGAGCATAAGAACGACAAGGTTGCCTCAAAGAATCAGAAACACGTTTCTTACGAGCCACAAAAATCCATTCTTTCTCTTGTTCACGACTCCAAACATCAAATTCCCACTGCCAATTTGGTCCACCATTTCTCCAAAGAAAGAAGCACAGAACAAAATCATTGCAAATGTAAGATCTCAAACGATAAATCCATAAACCCGCTTGTTTGGAGCAAACAAAAAAAAGAGAAAGAACGATCTTTGAGAAGGGAAACAGAGAGATCAGCAGGCGAACCACCAATCACAGCCCTGAGGGCTAAGGCCACCGAAGAAGTTGTTAAACAAAAATTTGAGCGAGGTAGATCCACCACTAACCGGAAAGGAACCGAGCTGAACTTAGAGGAGAAATGAACCGGCGGTCGGAAACGATGCCAAGTTTCATCACAGATTGCATCGCCGGGAGAGAAATTCCACCCTCCCAGTGGTGCCGGAGTCACCATTGAAGATCACCGGAAATCGCCCATCCGAATGCCTCTGAGAAAAGCGGACGTAAAGAAGATCACAATGACATATTACTTATGTATAGCAAAACATTGGATCTAAAATTGTCAATTTAATTATAAATACAGGAGCAATTTAGATAGAACAGAAATTAGATATGTACATTTAAAATTATGCTCAGCTTAATACTAAAATTATAGCTTTTCTTGCTTTTAATTTGGTAACATAAAAGAATAGGAACAGAAAGAGATCGGAAGAGGTTGAGCTTGGAGACCTGAGGCGCCGGGCGTGCAGGGGTGGACACGAGGCTTGGCTTGCACTGGCTCGCAACAAACTAGGCTTGGCTTGCACTGGCTCGCAACAAACTAGGCTTGGCTTGGCTCGGCTTGGTTAGAGAAACGAGCTAAAACATGAGCTCGGCTCGGCTCGTTTCCTGGCTCAAGCCAGATCGAGCTGGCTTGCGAGCCTTCCCATTGAAGCATCTCTTCATATATAATTTGTAGATGATCAAGAATAAATCGTCGACATGTATAACTAAAATAAGTTTATATATTCAATTCTTCAAATTATAAATGATAAATTGCATAATTACAAATAATAACTTCACTATAAAATAAAATGATCCATATAAATACATGATAGCCTAGGCTCATGAGCCAAACCAGTGGCTCACGAGCTAGCTCGGGCTTGGCTCATTTCAGCAACGAGCTGAAAAGGAGGCGTGGGCTTGGCTCCTTTGGCATTCGAGCTCGAGCCAAGCCCAGGCTGAGCTCACGAGCCCGAGCTTTTCTTTCAGCCCTACGTGCATTACTACGGCCTTCCAAAAAATTCTGCTCAAAAATATTAAATCTAATCTTTGGACACATGCATGAAGTATTAAATATAGATTAAAAAACTAATTACACAGTTTGCATGGAAATCGCGAGACGAATCTTTTGAGCCTAATTAGTCCATGATTAGCCATAAAGTTCTACAGTAATCCACATGTGCTGATGACAGATTAATTAGGCTTAATAAATTCGTCTCGCGGTTTCCAGGCGAGCTATGAAATTAGTTTTTTTCATTCGTGTCCGGAAACTCCTTCCGACATCCGGTCAAACGTCTGATGTGATACCCAAAAAATTTCTTTTCGCGAACTAAACAGACCCTATGTTCGGGGGAGCAAGCGAGGTGGGCCTTGAGGCTCCCGTTAAATCATTTCGTTAAGTTTTTTTTCCTAAAGAGATAAATTTAGTAGTTGAATGTAATGGTTCCATTGGTTTATTATAGTGCCATATGACGATTTAAGAGTATTTATTGGAATACCACGTGACAGCCTAGAATTGTTTGTAGGATGTTCAATGGACTTTTAGCATGTAATAGATATTACAGTTAGTTTGAAGCTTTGCTACTGCTGTGCTGTGCATGAGTGCACAGATTGATCTAGCTTTCTTTTGTTGTTTGACTTGAACATATATACTGTAGTTTGATTGACTTGTAAGCATGAAATAAATTAAAATGACAGCGGAAACATTAGGATCATATTAGCACAACTTAATTTAAATGATAGTCATATCCTATAATAGATTTATTTTTATATCGGTTTATTTTTATGGAACGGAATTAGTTGCTCGCAAGTGCATTAAATTGGACCACCGAATCAACGTGGCCGTTTTCGGAAAAAAAAAATCAACGTGGCCCAGATATGCGTAGTCCACTGTTGGGAGAATAAAAAAAAGAAGTGGAATAAAGGAACAATTTAGCTGCAAGTTCAAGCTATCTTTTTATGCATTGTTTGGATAAGGTGCCCACTACACTAGCCATGATATTTACTAGAGGCTGGGGCGCGCCAGTGGCGCGCCGCCTGTGGACAGCTCAAACAGATGCATAATTGGCGTTTGTCTATGATTAGTGAAAATCAATGTTCATTAATATTATCTGTAGCAAAAGTCATCAGACACAAACTACCACATTTGCTAGTAGTGATAGTTATAGCACAATCATTTGTCTTTGGGCATAATTACAACAAAACTCCTAATAATAATTAACCCATATGAAAGAGTACTGAAGATAATCCACATTCATTCAAAGCCACATCACTGTTGGTTCTCTAGATGACCAAAGGGTTTTCCACTTGTTCAGGTAGTTCTGGTACTTGCGCAAATCAAATACAATGAAAAGGTATAGCTGCACTTTAAACTACTAAAACATCTAAATTTCCATCGAAGGGCTAGGCATTTGTGATGCTATGGTTAAATTTGCTTGCAAGAAATCTGAAAACAGAAAACCAAAACAAATGCTTCAAACATTCGATGGAATTATTCCCTGCTTCTCGTCCTCCAATTGCTTTTTCTTCACCAAAAGCTCCACCAAATTTCATCGTCATCTGTGGGTATAATATGTCACAGTCGGTACCGTGGAGCCTATATAGCAAGAGCAAACAATTACAAAAGAAACCCAAATAGGACATGGCAATAAAAGAAACCCAAACAGGACATGGCAATAAAAGAAACCCAGAAACAAGTACATAAAAAAAGATGCAGGCATGCAATTGTCCTCTGAGGAGGGTTATTAATACTATATGACAGATTTTATCCTTAGTATATTAATTCTCAGAAGATATATTTATGGCACAGGATATGGTTCGTTATTTGGTCATGATACATAAGAGAAAATCCAGTAGGGTTAAATTTCTTCGTGATTCTTTTTTAAGTGTCACTAAACATGGATATTATCTTATAAAGAATTTAATACATTAATAATGCATACAGTACACATAATGGAAGAAAGGTTTAAAAGCCTAAGCTTATTTCAACTATTAAATTTGAGTCATATCTTAGTATAATTCAATAAACAGAGAAACAACGAGACTATAGTGAAAACATACAAATCATCAACCTTCACCAAGACCACTTTAGGAAATCAGAAATACAATACTACACATAAACAGAGGATGAAGATCCATTAGTGCCAAGGTGGGCCTTGATTTCAGTTTATAAGATGTATTCTCAATCTCAGACCAAAACATACATAATAAAAAATCGCCAAAACACTCTCACAAAGTTATATCATATACATTAACGACCATTGTACTGAACAATTTCAGGATTGTTAATAACAAGAAGAAGCAAGGTTATACTTATCACCAGGAAGTAGAACACTTGCGATTTGCCATTAGAAAAAGAAGTTGACAACATAGAAAATATCTGTGAATTTTAATCTAGCTATGAGAATTCCTACAAGGCAGTTTGAACACCACATGAGTAGCTATCCATGTTAACCAAAAATGGACAGGTAGAAGAACACCTCAATACCTCCAAGTGTGCTAGTTTATTCCTCATAGTGCATAAGGACCTCCCGGCTGACTGAAAATCTAACTTAGGCCTCAAGTGTGCTCATGTACAACAGGCAAAGTCCATATTAATGCCTTCTATCCTACCAATATGCATGGAAGCTATATGTATATAACAAATTATGCACCAACACTACAAACAATTCATCTATCAAATGTGATACGAGAAAACCGATGCCAATTATATCTGCAAAAAAAGAAAGTGAGTAGGGCAAAATCATGTGCACAAGACATACTTTTAAAGTCGTGACGTTCATTGGGGTCCATGTTTTAGTTTGCAAATTCCAATAGCTCTGCATCCATGAAACTGCTGCAAATAAGAGCATGGTCGCTTAATTTTTCAACTTTGCCAGAAAATGAAAAAAAATCATGGTAAATGACTACTAAGCAAAGAATTGTGATCTCTAATGCATTACACGAGAATAATATTTGACAATAACACTATTGATTGTAGGGAGTACTAACTTTTTGAATTCACTCCTAGCAATAATATTTGACATCAGGAGTATTAACTTATTACTCCCAATATCAAATACTGTTGATTGGAGGAAGTAGTCTTTTTACCAAGCTCTCTACCAAATAGCTTTAGCCTTAGTGGCACTAAAATAGGAGAATCATTCATTGATAAAAACACTAAAAAACGGTTGCAGTTTAGGTTAACTACAACAACCATTTACCTGCTCCTCACAAGCAATTCAGAGTGTTCCACTCACAACATTTTAGAGATAGCAACAATAGCATTAGAGATGGTACTGCTTTAAGTGGATAATCATTTAGAGATGATACTGCTTTTAGATATAGGAACAATAGAATTGAGCATATAGTGAAATTTTCGGAGTGCAATAAGAATCTAAAGAAGCAAATTGCTAATGTTAAGTGGTCAACATTGAGACATTCAAGGTAATTTATCAGATGGATGGCATGTACTGCTGCAACAATGATCACACAACGAGCAAACAAAACCTGTCAAAAAAATTCGTGTCAACTAAATTTCATATGCAGATCCAAATTTGAAACCTTTTTGTAGTAAAAAAGTTGGTTTTAACAACCCCCTCCCTCCCTCCCTCCCTCCCATTTTAGTTATGTTGCATTGTTGCATATTACATGATATGACCTTTAAATTTCCTTGAGGGCTTTGACACTTGTAGGTCGGTTTTTTTCTAGGGATGAAAATGGCCACGGAAATTCCCTGCCGACTGAGTGTCGTTTCATATCATTGGTACCTTTTTGACCGTTGTCCTTTTTAGCTACATATAAACAATAGTTTAATTGATAAATATGGCCTGTTACCAACTGACCGAGGGCCATTTCCGTAGAGACAGTACCGATTCCGGCTGTTTTGATCCCTTGTTTTTTCTACCCGGTTTTGACACCCTATTGTTGGTGTAATAATCTTTGTAACCACTCTCCTAAAATATTAATGAAATTTAGTTGGCCTTGTCCTTCATCTAACCCAGCTAATATTAATTTTTTTTCTACATTGTGGATGATAGCTCTGTCCATGTCCCATGGAGGAAAGCCGACCACCTGAAGCAGGTGCAGTTGAGCTCCTATTTCTCAGTCACCACAGGTGGGAGATGTTTAGTGAACTTGTGATTTTCTTTATGTCGGCAGAAGCAGAAACAGACAACTAAATGATCATCCATGGCGGTTTTAACGTCTCCATCAAGAGATTCTAGTGGGCTAGCAGATGTCTACTGGTAATATGGTACAAGCATTTATGCCAAAAAAAGGATGATAATATAAGCATATGGAATATGTGATAAGATAATGCCTGAAACATGTTCTGTGATACCTGCACAAGATTGGCCCTGTGATCAACCATATTAGACCTCGACTCTAAAACTTTGATCAGCAGAATCCGAACAAACCGATATCTCTGATGCCTTGTCAAGGCCATTCGACTTGTATGGAGCGACATGATTTGAGGCTTTGAGTGGAGGGGTAGATCAATTCATTATGTATTCATTAGTACCTGCAAATTTATGGTATTAGCACTCAGCTATAGCTACAATTGGAAAAGTCCATTATAGTAACTTTCTATATTTACATGTGGAGTGTATTAGCACATCAGAAAGGTTTATGAAATGCTTAACTGTATCCAAAACCTCAGCTTGAGTAAACTTCTAAAATACCCTTTCAAAAAACCAGAAAGCCTCTCTAACTGCTATTGCTGATCCTACAGTTTTTTGTTTTTCTTCAGTTCCTTGGGATGCCATCTATCCTTTCATGATCTCATTCCAAACATGTGAATCCATGCACCCCTGCCTAAATTTTTCATCAGTGAGTAATGAAAACAACGCTAAATATAACAAATAGGACATTCCAAGATAGATGAGTTATAGCCTAATTAGGTTTCAAAAACATTCTTAAAATAAGTAGGCAAAAGTTCTCGCATGCCAACAGATATTTTTGCCCAACTACCACTGAAATGATCCGACTTTTTTTTTAGAACTTGAAATGACAGACTTGGTAGCATATGTCCATCTGATCTCCTCTATAAACTAAACAATACATGGCGGGAGAAGAGTAGAAAAGGAAGGCTAACTAATCTAAATATGTGGTTTTCCTTTACTGCTTGAGAACAGTCATTAGTATCTCTCACATTATGGAGGAATTAAAAAAATGTGTTGAGGCCTAACAGTGAATGATCCTAGATAATAATCAGACAACTCCACAAAAGGAGAGACGTTATGTGTTTTATTAGTACTATATTGCAAAATTCGTAACCCGTTCAAAAATATTTAACATAACCCAATGAGAGAATGGACAATTAGAAAAACTAAGAACAGGATGTGGCTAACAACATGACATCGGTTGGTAAAAAGGTCAAGCTTTTTAATAGGAGTGGGACGGAAGGAATGGATTATATTTGGCTGCGAAATCAATCATGTTGATACACTGAAAATCTAGAATAGATTAGAGGAAGAAGATGCTGACAGGGAGGAGCTGCAAGAAAAAATTACCATGAAACTGATCCTTGCCGATCTGGCTATCCCTACGCAGGCTGAACATGTCATCGACATTAACCGCCTCGCAGTCGGCGTGGACTCGCGGCAGCCGCAACTGTCATCGTCCATTGGTCACAGGGACAGCACGGCCCCTCCATGGCGCCCGCAGTCCCCTACGGCGGTCCAAGCCTGCAGTACAGGCTGGTCGCCCTCGCCGGCGGAGGAGGCTGGATGACCCTGCTGATGATGGCCAGTCAAAGCATGTGGCCCCAGTGGAGGTTGAGCCGCAGCAGGACCGTCCTACCCCCGATGAGAAAAGCAAACGTGCTTAGGAATAAAATTAACAGAAGGACAAAAAAGCTTTACCTGCAGCTCCTTGAAGGTGATGTTCATGTTTAGCCGGTTTTGCAGTAAGCTCACTATTTCACCAGCACGTCGTTGGGGCGGTTGGGCTGAGACAAAACACAAAAAACATGCACAGTTCATGTCAAGAAAGTTGCATATTTGGAGCATATTCTGCGAGAAAGTAAAAATGGGATCACGGAGGACATGGTCGGGGTCCTTCCAAGAAGTTCCTGATGGCCATAATCTTGCTCTCCAGCCCAAGCTGCTCGGTGTCAAGCTCGTCGGCTAGCTCCTGTGTGCCACCGGCTTCCACGTCACTCTGCAACTCTACTCCTCTAGAGAAAGCCGGAGCCGCCTGGCGACGTACGGTCCTCCTCTTCTCGACGCAACCACTGCCTTCCTTGGCGCCGGCTCCGTCACCACCGCCGTTTCTTCGATGGCAGCCGCAACGGAGGGTGGAGCACCGACCGTCGGCGACGGCGGCGAAGCACGCAGCAGGGGCGGCGGGCTCGTCAGCAACGGGGCGAGGCGGTGGCGGAAGTGGCGGCGCTCGGCGACGACGACGGTGGTGACGGAGGCGGAGATGCTGCCCGGCGCACGGGGGATGTCAGATCCCCGTCCCCCGACCACATGGGGGCCAGATCCGGACGCTGGTGGCCAGAGACGGCGGTCGGCAGGGACGGAGGGAGGCGAAGGTGGAAGTGGCGGCGCGAGGCGACGACGCTAGTGGAGGCGGAGATGGGTGCGCTCGCCGACGGCGACGATGCGATGGGGAGGCTGAGGCGCTGGGAGACGACGGGGCGACAGCGGCGGCGACGACGCAATGGGGAGGCTGAGGCGCTGGGAGACGACGAAGCGACGGCGGCGGCGATGAGGTGGACGCGGCGGCGCGAGGGGAAGGCAGAGGCGTAGGCGGAGGCGGAGGCGGAGGTGGTCGCGCGGGACGGAGGCGGCGGCGCGAGGGGGAGGCGGAGGCGGAGGCAGGAGAGCGAGAGGATGGGGACGAGTGGGAGGAGGCGAGACGGAAGGCGGCGGCTAGGGTTTGGGGGTGGGTGGGCTAGTGGGGATCATTATGCAAAAAATCCCCTCGACTTTAAGATTGTACAGCGCGGTCCCGATTCGCGTTTTTTCTCTCCCACGCACGGAATATCCGGCTACTACAAGGGCCTTCACGTAAAACATCGGCTCATAGGAACTGTTTGCTAAGGACCCATATTGAATTATATATAAATCGGAGGGATTTTTCGCAAAATTTCCACCGCGCGCCTCAATCCCAGCCGCCCACGCCTGATCGGACGGCGGGAGGAAAAAGGGGCGACGTGGCCCGCACCAACATCGCCCCAGCCCGCGCCCCTTAATAATATGCGATTCGCCACTTTCCATATATAAACCATATAGCAAAATCATTCATGAGGTCTATCCACTGGGCATTATAATTTTTGTTTTTCATATTTGTATCAATGAACTGCACAAACAAATTTATATTCCCTCCAGTATAACAATAATTGTCCTTTTTTAATCATTTTCCATGGTATTATTGGTCATACTTTGACAATAACTTTATAACAAATAAGTTTGAGACGATTGTAACAAACTTCATACTTGTTAATTATCATTCCAGGGTTTTTGTTTGGCAAAATTTGGTACCACACATTGAAAATTTGTGGTTTTTGCATGTAGACATCACAAAAATATAGAACGGTCTGAGTACATCCTAAAAATATGGTAATCTGCTGAAGGACGGTCTGTCAATTATTTTATTATTTTTAGCCTATACAAGAAGAGAAATGTTTCGAAAAGACAAGATTACCCTGCCACCCGTGAAGACCACCCGGTCTGGTCTGTTTCAACCATTCGATCGATTCCCATCTCCTAACCTCTCTCTGGGCCTCACACCCCAAGTCCCCGATCCTAGGCAGTGGTAAGGGCTTCAACAATTGCGAGCTGATGGTAGCTCTTATCTAAGAGCTAACTCTTCACATACATTAAAATAAATGCACTAAATGTATATGCATGAGAAAGAGAGAGGAGAAGAAAATAAATACAAAGTTAGAGCCCATCTACTATACATACTAACTCTAATATGATCTTATAGCTAATATTTGGCTCTACTGTTAAACTTGCTCTAATTGCTTGGGAGGGCATGTCATCACCTATTGCACGCAATGGCTTGTCGAGACCCCTCATCTTTTAATAATGTGTGCACAATGCATGACTAGTGACAACATAATAGTGGCCCGCTGTTGGTATTTATTATAGTCTTAAATAAATCCGCAAGAACATGGATACTGAAGTAGCACTTCACTTTAGAGTATTCCAAGGGTATCAAATCACAGGGAACATGTGTGTATAATCTAAGAACAAGATTCAACCAAGGACAACAACTAATTGGGATGCTTAGGAAAGAGCGGATTCCTATGGGTTAATTAAGTTAAGTTAAAACTCTATAAATTGTTTCGAACACTGGCTTACTCCTGATCTTCCAAGGAGACTCCGGCCTACAGCTCTATGATGTACCGAACGTGGAGAATTACAAAGGACAGATATGGCTGTTACCACCTGCCATCAACTTCTACAACCCGTGGAGCACACAACAAACAAACGTAAACTCCAGCCTTAACACCATGTCTACGCTATTGATTATTACCCCAATCTCGATGTCACACTTACATAAGATTAAGGTACTCTAAGTACAGCGATGAACCTGGAATGATGAGAATATATCTTAATTACTTAAATAAGAAAAGTTAATTCCAAAGGAGATCACAAATACTTATGTAAAAGAAGCATCCAACGAGGTACAAGATCAGAGAGAGAGAGAGAGAGAGAGAGAGAGAGCTGACATCTTCGGCACTCCTCTAGAATTCCTTGGAAGAATGTCGACATCCCTAGCACTCCTTCGGAGAGAAGTCCGACATTTGGGGCACGCATGCACGCTTTTCAAACTGCTAAGCGGTGTTGCTTTTGCAAAAATTTTCTATATAAAAGTTGTTTTAAAAAATCATGTTAATCTTTTTTTAAAAAAATAGCTAATACTTAATTAATCATGCAATAATACGTGCTTCATTTTCCGTGCTAGGGAGGAGGGATTCCCAACCCCTCCTCCCGAACACACCCTTTGACTGTGTTCTTCCCCCATTTTTCCCAACTCACCTCTCTCGTTTTCTGCGTGCACGTTTCCCAAACTACTAAACGGTGTGCATTTTGAAAAAAAAATCTATAGGAAAGTTGTTTTAAAAATCATATTAATCCATTTTTCAAGTTTATTTTAGATAATACTTAATAAATTATGCACTAATCACCGCTCTGTTTTGCATGTTGGGAGTGAGGGTTCCCAACGCTCACTCCCGAACTCAGCCTAAATGTGTAAGTGAGTTGCACTCCACTTGTTGTGTAATTTTAGAGTGTAGTGAGCTCCTTCTTTTATAGCCTCCTTAAGTCGGTTGGAAGGTCGGTAACTGCCGGTAATCAAGCATAACCACCTTTGGGGCTTCAGGATCTTGCTCCACGCGTCGGCAGATGGCAAGGGGAGGCAAAGGTGGTTCAGCATACCTTGGGTTCGGCCAACCCCATTGGCCCACCTCCCAGCCAATCCTTCAGCTGGGAGGCTGCCTGGTGGGCCCCCTACAAGTTGTACCTTGTATGGGCTCAATTGTAGGCGATTATGATTGACATGTAGGGCCTCCAATCCGTGTACTCACGTCTGATTGTCTAGATATGTATTTTGTCGCATGGCGGGTTATTTTCGTCCATAATGCACCCACGTACAAATATTCACCAAGACTTGTGGAAATGGTTAGTAATAAGCACTACCTCTAAGTTTAGTATTCTACTTTGTATTCTTTCATTTGCATTTGTGCATGAATTGATGGTTGGAATTGGTACTTAAGGACCGTCAACAACACCATCACATTGAGCATTTACTTGTCCCTGAGTAAAGATTATTGATTACATCAGAGCAATGAATCCCTTTGTAATGATACTGGTATAATAATTATTTCAAGTCATACCTATACTTGTGAATCTTAAATTGTCTACCGTGTCATCTTGGGTGATTGACGAATGGAACGACCATGATTCAAGTTACCTCCACTTCTCCTGATGAGTGCCATGGGTTTTTTCCTTTTTCTCATAAAAACATAACTTTAATCCTCAATTGATTCTCTTGAATCACTCAATGTGTATGATTATTCACCGAGTCATAGTGTTGACGGTCATTAAGTGCAAACTTTTACCATCAACTCCTGCATAAAAGAAATAAAATATAATTTCAAAACTTAGTGGAAGGGGTTTATAACTAACCATTTCCACTAGCTTTGGTAAATATATGTATGCAGGTGATTTTCGGTAGAAAACACACCCACCAAGTGATAGAAGGAACCTCCGGACAATCAGACATGATTACATGGATTGGAAGCCTCACATGTCAATCAAAACTACCTACAATTGAGCCTAACCAAGGTATAACATGTAGGGGGGGGGGGCACCAGGCAACCTCCCAGCCGAAGGAGAGGCCGAGAGGTGGGCCAAAAGGTTGGCCGAACTATAAGGTCGCCCGAACGGACCTTGGCTCCTCTCACCATCTGCTTCCACGTGTATGCTCTTGATGACTCCCCAATGGCGGTTATGAAGGTTTCATCGGCAGTTATCACCGATGTAAAGCATTGTAATTATGAGCTACAAAAGGAAAAGGTCTTCGCACTCTCAAATTGCACAACAAAGTAGAGTACAACTCACTTTCATATCATGGTAGCTACTTTAGTATGTGGGATTAGGAAGAGAGTGAGAGAAAGCTCCGGAAGGTGTGTCCCAAATATCGGAGTTTTCTCCGAGAATTCTTCCATCAGAGTGCCGGAGAAGCGCATGAGTTGCTGGCTTTCTTCTCTCGCTTGTACCTCGGTGGATGCTTCTTTTAAAAAGTAAGTATTCAAGTTTCCTTATGGTATTTAATTAGTTTATTTAAGTGAGATATATTCTCATCGGTGCGGGATCGTCGCTTAGTATTTATACTTAATGCTCTAGTACTAAGACTCTGGATAAACAAGATAGTTCTTGGCCGAGGCTAGAGTAGTAATCGATAACGTAGGTGTGGTGTCTAGGTTAGAGGTTACCTTCGTTTGTTGTGTGCTACACGGAAAGTAGGGTAGACGACAGGTGGTGATAACCCTGCCCGTCCTTTGTATCCCTTCATATTCGGGTACATTATAAAGCTCAAGGCTGGACTCAACCTGGCAGACTAAGGGAGGGCTGGTTCCTGATGCATTCGATAAAGTTTTGCCTTTAATTTAAGTTAGCTAAATACGTCCATAGGAATCCTCTCTAGCCTATCACTCATCATGTTGTCCTTTGATAGAATTCTGTTCGTAGAAAGTATATGCACGTTCCTTATATTTGATACCCTGGAATACTCTGTTTGGTTTGGGCTTTCTTCCAAAAGCCGGGGTAATATATGATCTTTTATCGAAAAAAAATGATGGAGATCACTTGGCTTTTTTGGATGTTTATCACTTGGCTCAAGCACTTCCCCAAAACTATGTCAAAATAGTGGTGTCTGATCACATGTTAGTTGAAGTAAACTACAATCCGTTGCTAGAGCCAAAAATTGGGGTCAATCGTGATGATGAGGAAAAGGGTTAAATAATGGCTGTCACCATGGTTTTTAAGAACCAGCAGATATGTATACACACTCAATCTGCGCAGTTTTGATAGGGTAATGGGGTGAGGATAGCTATATTCTCAGCCTCTCTCAGAGCATCTCCAATAATGCTCCAAAGTTGAAGATGATAGCTAGGAATTTCCGATATTTCAAAATAGCAGATGCCGTTGTTTCCTTTACCACATGTTTGAATAAAGAAATAAAAAAAGCTCAAGAAGTATGGATATCTTTCCCACGAAAGGATATATATATATGGACCAAACCATCAAGCAGTACATATGCAGGCACACATATTTGGGGACATTCATAGGCGTATTAATGGTCTTGACACTTCAGCGTGTGAAGATAGGGCCGTGGGGTGGAACTGGAGGCCATGCTTGGGATGAAGGAGGCCATGGTGCCAGTGCTGGCAGTTACACCGGAGTACGCCGAATGAGTATAGGGTCTTCCTGGTGTGTCAGCTCGATGTTGTTTGAATACGACGACAATGGCAAACGTGTGAAAGGTACCCTGCATGGAGAGAGAGACAATGGAATACCCGAGGTATGTAGCAAGCAATACTTGATAGATTTGTGATCTTAGGATTTAGGAAGTGATTTTCCAAGTGAAAACAATTTCTCCACTCCTTATAGGATCTACTCTATCTTATTAGAAACTTATATTTATTACTGCCATGTCTACCCAAAATCTAAATATTTTTTGTTGAAAATTGATTAGGCGCCACCAACATCTGACGTCATCCTATTCGTCGCCCTCTCTGGGTGGCTTTTAGTTAACCGGTACCTATAAATTATAGGTACAAGTTTTTCTAAAAAAAACCGACACATATAGTATTTGTGTTGATTTTCCTCTACAACCAGCATATATAGTTACCCAAAGGTGACGTTTCTGTAACTTTTTTCATCCTGTGGAGGTAGGGAAAGGTTCATATGTGCCGGTTTTAAATGAACGGACACCTATGAGGGTTTTGCAGTAATGATGCGCTAAGGGTTCAGTACTGTAGCTGTAGAGAAAGAAACTATTAACTTAATTACCTTCAGTGGAAAGGTGGGTAAATTTTACAATTAATATACCATTTAAAGAAATGCCCACGCAAATGAATGGTTGGATTTTACTCACACCAGTGCCCCTTGTCACTTGTACCGTGTATCGTAAAACAACTCCTGGTAACGACGATGGGCACAGATCATGACCAATTTATTAAAGCCCAAGGCCTCTGCTTCTTGCTTCTGACAATCTCATAAAGGTTTTCATGAGCGGTGAACCGGTGACTAGTTCATTTAATCATGATCTAATAGAACTCATCAACTAGTTGTATTATAGAATCAGTAGGGACTCTTCTTTAATCGTGGAGTTGTATTAATTTTTCCACTGTTTTAGTTATGTAAAAACACAGACAAATACTCAGTCGTCGATTGAACGGTTTAATTTGGGAGAAAATTAAAACAAACAGCTTGCAGAGAGATGCTTTGTACTAATTAATCACTGACTGACAAATAACCTGATGCATGGACGCACACAGGAGGAGCTCGACTTCCATGGGGAGGTGTTGACGCACATGTGCGGCTACCATGACAACCACCTCATCCGGTGGTTGCAGTTCAGGAGCAACCGGAACAGGACGTTCGGACCATACGGCAATCTTCTAGAAGACCAGGCTGGATGGACGCGGTTCGAGGTCTCCATGGAGCACTCGGGGTCCATCGTCGGCTTCTGCGGCCGGAGTGACGACTTCGTGGACGCCATCGGCGTCTACGTCGCCGTCTGGAATCCCGAGAGGTTCTATGATAGCATGCGCAGGCAGGGCGTCCGCGTTTACCGGGCGTCGCCTCTGCGCATGGACCTGCGTCAAATAGAAGAAGAGAAAAAGAAGGAAGAAGTGGAACGTGGGCGCCTACAGAAGGAGCTCGAGGAGGGGCGAGAAAGTCTTCGGAACATACGATTGAAGCTTGATATGCCGCCGGATCAGAGAAAACGCCTGATACGACGCGACCTGCGAGTGGAGCATCAAGAAATCGAACGTCAGTTACAAGAGATGCAGCAACTGGAACGCGAGCGTCAGCAACTGGAGCAACAAGAAATCGAACGTCAGTTACCCTCGCGTCAGCAACTGGAGCAACAAGAAATCAAACGTCAGTTACAAGACATGGAACGCGAGCGTCAGCTACACCGGTGGAGAAACTTTGTAACCGGTGGAGAAACTTTGTAACCCCCTTTAGTCCCGGTTTCCAAACCGGGACTACCAATCCGGGACTAAAGATCGCTATCTTTAGTCCCGGGTGAAATAACCGGGACTAAAGATCGATCTTTAGTCCCGGTTGGTGTTACCAACCGGGACTAAAGATCGAGCTGACCCATTTTTTTTTTTACATGGCCCTGTTGCTGCATGGTTTATATATATATATATATATATATATATATATATATATAAACCATGCATATATATGTTTCAATACATATATATGCATACATATATATATGCATATATATATATTATATTATATTATATGTATATACATGCATAATATATATGTATTTATACATATATATGTTATGCAAATGCATATATATATAGATATATATATGACCAAAATATATTTACATTATAGAAAATGTGTACACATGCATATAGAAACATATGTAGTCATGTATTAATTACAATCCATTATATGTCCTAGCTAGCTACGATTTCGACGTAGTAGTACTCGCTGCTAGCTCAGAAGCTAAGGACCGGTGAATTGTGTTTCCGTCGTAGTAGAATTCACCCTTGGGATCAAGGATTTCTTCGTTGATGAATCCCATGAGTTGTTCTTGAACCGCCGCGATAAATTCCTTGTGTGTGGTCAGGTTATCCCTCATACGAATAAACTATATGAATGTATGAAATTGATTAGTAATTAAACAAGAAATCGCTACGTAATGAAATTTTGAATTTATTTATACGTACATTGAGCTCTCTTGTGGTGATGATTTGGTTTGCAAGGCAGTGGCAATACTCGCACACGTAATAGCCGCACAAGTTAGTTCCCTGCTTTTGCTTTGCGCACTACAAATAAATGACAAACAACGAGAGATCTAATTAATATACACTTGTATGTATTTGAATCGGAGAAATATAAATGTAGAGCATGTGTACTCACAGGAAATTTGAACTTCCGCCTAAGTCTTTCTCTCCATTTGCCGCGGACCAAATGACGGAACCGATACCAAGCCCTACATGGAGTTTAAAGCTATGATTCGTAGTAGCAATTAACATAACAAGATTTTCTTAATTAACAAAGGAACTTATGACGGTACCTGTCTATAAGTTCGAAAACCTTGTCAAACGTAGACTTTTTTTTATCCATTGAGTCATATACGTTGACGGTGCAGGCCTCCAGGTCGAAGAGTAAAAGCACCCAGTGGAATCTGCAATGTGCGTGGGATGCATTACATATGAAACACTTAGCAAGTTCGTACGGGAATGAAATTTGGTATGTAGGAAGACAGTAAAATTAAACTAACTCTGTGTTGTATGGCAACAGTATGAACGTCTTGTAATGCTGCGCCTTCAGGAGATGGACGAGATTGTCCTCTGTTTCTTGTGGATATTGGTCGAGCATTGCGACGTTTACTTTCCGAGGGTCGATGAATCCAGTATCGAAAACCCTCCGCTGTCGGGCCCTTTGAATCTCCATTCTACAACGATAAAAGGGAGTATATTATTTTCTATAGTCTACTTATATACAAGGACCTAATTAATTAAAGGAGACGTATAGTAAAAAATCTAACTGAACGATATACTTACAAAATCCAGCAACTCATAATAGAGACGTCGAGGGCGTCCAGCTGGTATAGTTCGTAGATTCCCCTGAAATTGATCCAGAGAATGTCATCTCCTTGCAAGAAGTCCGTGTCCCTGATCCTCGCTCCGATCATCTCTCTACCGGTGGCGCTCATCTCCATGTACAGCTGATGGAACTTGTACATTTGTGTGGGTAGGGACTGCAGCAGCTCAGGCTTGACAAGCGGTTTACCGAGTTCGTACATGTATTTCACTTCCGCCTTTTCGATTGGTGCGACTCCTAGCAATTGATCCGTAGTTAGACCGGTGTCAGTAATAAATTGTTCTATCGTCATTTCTTTACCGGTCACCAACGGCTCGATCTCCTGGTTTGGTTGCTCTCCAAGCTGAGGGACTGGTTTGGACTTTCCAGAAGATGCTTTCTTCAGCGTTCGCTCATAGTCCGATAGCTTGATGGCCTCCTTGACAGATGCAGACATACCCCTGAAGAAGTTCCTGACACTGGGGTCTATAGGAATCTTCTTTTCTGGACTTCGAGGCTTGAATTGTCTCTTGACTTCTGATGCAACGTAAGCGTCAAGCTCCTCTTGCGTGCAATCGTACCCCGGGTCCTTGTTCTTGGCGGCGTCAACTTTCGCCTTCTTCGTTGCCCTTGTGTGGGCAGGCGGTGGAGCTGGGGGGGCCCTTGACTTTGAAGGTGCCGGAAGAGGAGCTTGCGGGGGAGTAGGTGTAGGAGCACGAGGAGGAGTCGGTGCAGGATCCTGAGGAGGAGTCGATGCTGGAGCCTGAGGTGGAGACGGTGCTGGCGGAGCATGAGGAGGAGACGGTGCAGGATCCTGAGGAGGAGATGGCGGAGCCGGAGGAGATGGTGCACGAGACGCCGCTTGTCGCCTAGGGAGGATGATGTACCGCCTGCGCCATAGAATAATGGCATGGCATGTGTCTCGTAGATGCGTCTCACCGTCTCCTCCAGGGTAATCCAGCTCGAGGTCCTCGTACGCGCCTTCGACCACCTCAACTTCGACCTTCGAGTATCCTGCTGGAATCGGCCTGCAGTGGTAAGTACCTGAAGGGTCCGTTGGGATGGCCATGCCCGACGCCACCTTCATGTTGTGAGAGATTATTTATTAGTAATCAACATATATAAGCAGCAACTAGCGGAATGGCTAAATCTTACCTTTATTGATAAGTTCTTGAAAGGAATATGCAGCTCACATGGTGTCCGCTGAGTGATGTCATCAACGGGACAGGTCGATTCGTCCTGTGTTTGCATGGCGTCCATGCTCTGTGATCCTACCTGCCCCGTTGAGGCGCAGCTGCTACGGTTTCCTGACGAGCTCACCATTGCAGGAGGAATGGTCGGCTGGGGATCATGGGACCGATGTGCGGCCATGCGTTCATCAACCTTCCTTGCCACCTCCTCTTGCATGTTGAGTTCGTAGCTCGATACCCGGAACTCTAGGTCTGCAATCTTCGCCTCGGTATCTCTCTTGCTCCTCATCCGACTCCTGTACGTGTGGATGTCCTCCTTGAAACCAATCTTCCAAGGAATCACCCCTTTCCCTCGTGTTCGTCCTGGATGCTCTGGAGTCTGCAGGGCGAGTGTCAGCTCGTCCCTATCTCTGTCTGGTCGGAACGTGCCCTGAGAGGAGGCTTCCACTGCATCTGTTAGTCGTCGCGCAGCCTCTCGTATCTGATCGCCGAAGACCAGTGAGCCATCAGCTGGGTTGAGCGTTCCACCGTGAGCATAGTACCAGAACTTCGATCGTTCCGGCCAATTGGCTGTTGCCGGTTCGATACCCCTCTCAATCAAGCTAGCCTCCATCTGCTCCCACTTCGGCATCGCGACGCTATAGCCTCCTGACCCCAAGTGGTGATGGTACTTCTTCTTGGCGGCATTTTCTTTGTTTCTTTCCATCATCGCCTGCCCTTGTTCACCTGTCTTATATGCAACGAACTCGTCCCAGTGATCCCTTAGCTTTGGGAATGTGTCGAAGTTCGGTGTCTGCCCCTTCAGTATATACTTCTGGTACAGATCTCCCTTGAAGCTCTGAAACCGTGCTGCCATTTTCTTCAGAGTCCACCTTTTCACTTTGTCCTCTGTACCCGCAGGAAGGGTGAATGTCTCGAGCATTGTGGTCCACAGCATCTCTTTCTCCGAATCTGGGACAAAGCTCTCATGATCTCCGCGTGCCCTTGTTCTTCGCCAGTACACCCTACTGACAGGCACGTTATCCCGCACAACCCAACCGCTGTGACGTACATAGTTCTTGGCGGCTTCGGCCGGGGCACTAGGACGTCCATCTTCTTCCACTTCCGTTATGATGTGCCGACCCTCAAGCTTCTTCGCTGCACCTCGTTGCCCGCGTGCCCTCTTCTGTCCAACGGAGGGTTGACTACCACTAGCCTCCTCCTCCTGGTTCCCCTCCACATCCCTTTCCACGTGCCCCTGCTGGTTCCCCTCCGCATCCCTCTCCACGTTCCCTTCCTCGTTCAAGTACTAGTTTGGATCCTCGTTCCCCTCTTCTTCATTCCAGTACTGGCTGCTTCCCTCCGCGATTGTATCGTACAATATCTGTTCCTCATCGCGGTCAGCCATCTGTTGATACAAGAAACATCTGCTAAGTCACGAGACATTTATGTTTTAACAATCTAAGTCATGTATGCTAAGTGTAAATGTCGTACATTAGAACCCTACACAACCTTACGTGCTAAGTCTAATTACAAATCGTGATATAAGCTAAGTCTAGGTGACGTATATTATACAACCCTAGCTAGTAAATAATTATATACTAAGTCTAATTACAAATAAAATAATCTTATATTAAAACTCAAATAATATTACATGCTAAGACTAAAATAGTCATGTATATGCTAAGTGTTTCGTGCGTATATGCTAAGTCTAATTAAGACTACAATAGTCAATTGCTACTTGTCGCACCAATTCCGTAGTCAATAATTACATACTAAGTCTAATTACAAATAAAGTAATCTTATATTAAAACTCAAATAATATTAGAACACTACACAATCTTATATGATAAGTCTAATTACAGGTCTAATAATCTTAATTAATTGCATTACAAATATAACAATCATTTATATTATTACGTCACTTGCCTGCTCCAATTCCTTCTAGGACTAGCTCTTCCACTCAGGCTTGACGGACGACTCCGACAACACGTCTTTTCTGCAAGATACAAAAAGATGTATTAGGATAAATGCGAAGTAACATATATATATATATATATATATATATATATATATATATATATATATATATATATATATATATATATATATATATATATATATTGCATTTCACGTTAACGTTCGTCCTCGTTCGTTCGCTCGTTCACGTTCCCTAGCTCGTTCACGTTCGTTCGCTCGTTCTCATTCACGTTCGTTCGCTTGTTCTCATTCACGTTCGTTCCCTCGTTCTCGCTTGTCTTCGTTCGATCGTTCTCGTTCTCGCTCTCGTTCGTTCGATCGTTCTCATTCTCGTTCACGTTCTCGCGGCAACGTACGTTGACGTGTTCGTTCTCGCTCTCGTTCGTTCGATCGTTCTCGTTCTCGTTCGTTAACGGTGGTGTGGCAGCATCG